CCTCTCTCAGATTTGTTCATTTTGTAATGATATCTTTAATTCTCTAATTTTGGTGAATATTTTTGTAATTTTTGGTAAAAAGTGATATTTTCGACTTCTTGTTGAAAACCGCAAGTCCAATTGCTTTGATATTACATATATAGGTACTACATGTGGACCTCTCTCAGATTTGTTCATTTTGTAATGATATCTTTAATTCTCTAATTTCGGTGAATATTTTTGTAATTTTTGGTAAAAAGTGATATTTTCGACTTCTTGTTGAAAACCGCAAGTCCAATTGCTTTGATATTACATATATAGGTACTACATGTGGACCTCTCTCAGATTTGTTCATTTCATGATGATATCTTTAATTCTCTAATTTTGATGAATATTTTTGTAATTTTTGGTAAAAAGTGATATTTTCGACTTCTTGTTGAAAACCGCAAGTCCAATTGCTTTGATATATTATACATATAGGTACTACATGTGGACCTCTCTCAGATTTGTTCATTTTCTAATGATATCTTCTGTTCTTTAATTGCTATGTGCATTGCTAACAGCGGAGCTATCTCAGCCGACAGGCTGCTTGTTTTCAGAGCTCTCAAATATAAGAATTTTGTATCAGTAGTGCAATGGAAATACGATTTTCTAAATTCCCTTTGGGAAAAAAAAGCATGGAGGTTTCGTCCATCCTCCAGTCCCAGTTGTAAATTCTTGTGTACACTTGCTGTGCGTTAAACATTTCATTCAAAATAAACAACATACCAGTGACCGGTTATTGACTGATTCCATAGACAGACACAGCACTATGACTAAGTTTCCCCAGTCTCTCACCAAACGTGGCTAGCTGAGCACAACGAGTCACAGTGGAACAGCGGCAAGGGACTGGAACAAAATCTTTGTTCCAGTCACATTTAAATGTGATACATGGGTTAATTTTTAATTAGAGTATGACCATTCATACCGGTAACTTACTTTACAAGTATTATTTCCTTCATCCTACCTTCAAGTACCAGTATATTCATTTGGTCACAAATATTACATGCATTAAAAAACAGCTTCAAAACATGTTTATCATCACTGAAGTGACTTCTGTATTTATACTATTATGACTGTGATTTAAATGTAATGTCTTCCAATACCTGATTACAGAAGACAAATGAGATATCATGGTACACCTGTGAATATTTTACGTCATATATTACTATCAGAGATCAAAGAAGCCACTGTGTCATTGCCACCTGATTTATCTCATGCACCCATGATGACCTATGACCCACTTCCACCAGAGGATAATATTGTATCCTATACCAGGCCACCGAGGTAAATTGTTTTCCACACTATGGCTTTTTGTAGTTTTAAAAGCCAATATAATAGCATATTTTGAATTTGAATTAATAGTAATTTATCTGCATCTTGAATTAACAAGTTCAGGTTCATTGCTCATTTAACAAACCTAACAGTAATGTTATTACTATTTTTTCTAGAGGGCGTCAGGGCCCAGCTTCTAATCAAGATAATAGTGCATTGGCAGCATTTTTTCGGTCCCTACTGCCATCCTATGGCTTACAGGTATGCCTTGTCTTTTCTAAATCGATTTTTGTAGAAAACTTCAATGGTTTAAAACTAAATTGATACTGTCAAATTCTTCAGAACTATGATGTGTGTTCTGTATGTGCCTTGGGTGATGCTTTTCCAGATTTTCTGATTCCTTTAGTGTTTGGATGCATGACATTGGAATTCATTTGATGTTGTTAAAGTCTACTGCTTTTCTATTAATTCCGATATGCATTGAATCAACCTTTCCATTGATGCCAAACTATGAAATGAGGTCCCATTGAGAGGTTATTCACACAATGAGAATGGAACAAAAACAAAAGTTTACTATGTAATAATGCTTGAGGGCTGTTTTACTTATATTTGTCTCTTGCTGTGCATACTTTTCTAGGGAGAGAGACAAGATGGGCAACAACCAGCAGTACGACCAGATGATATACTTGCTAGAGGTATAGAAGGTTTAGGGGCTGTTGGTGGCAATGATGTGCAGACAGGTGCTGACTTAGGTCGAAGTATTGAAACATTGATGGAGGCTATGAGGAATCTTTTAACAACCATACAGCCTCAAGCAAATGATGATGAGGATGAAGTGGAGAGTGACTGAAACCCTTTCCCCTCAACATGTTCCCGTTCTTTGTCTAAGGCGGTTGTCCTTATTTGCTGTTTCTTCAGTAAAGGGTAGTGGTCATCGTGCCATGTCTTGGTTTCATGCAATGTGTACAGTACAAGCAAAATAAATTGTTTACACAAAATTAAAAAAGCATGCAGTGTGACGAACACTACCCTTTAAGATTTTTAAATTCAACAACTTTTTATTGACAAAATTAACAGAACTAGCCGTCAGATGTTATGAAGCATGATGATGTTGTTTGATAGAAATCTGTTACACATAAATCTGATACACATATTCTTTCTAATGTGAGGTGGTGTTGGATATGATAATTATCATGTAGATATTAGATAAAATTTGTTATGCATCAATGTTCAAGTTTCATTTCTTGATTCCATGTGTTTGAAGCAAACAAGGAAAGTATGGGTTTGGTGTGTCTGTGTAAGCATTATCTCAAAAACTTCTGAATGGATCTTGATAAAAGGTGGTACGGTACATATGTACCTTTTGATATTGATTAGTTTCGGGGCCATGTCTGTGTATATTAAGTAACTAATTTGCATGGAAATTATCTCATTTCAACCTGTGCGAGCAAAATCTCAAACTTCCTAATTGATTTTGATGACAATTAGGACATAACGCAGGCACCTTGGGATTATGCTCATCCATGACCATGCATATAAAGTAGCTAAATTGCATATTGTCCCATTTCGTATGGTTTCACTGTCTTTATTGGAACAGAAACAATAGAGCTGCCAATCAGCGGCTCTGTTAACTGTGAACGATTTATAAAATGTGAATGTTTCAAAGAGCACTGTGTAAAAACTTTTCAATGGAAGCACTAATAAATAAGCCATTATGTTCCTAGTAAACAGAAGTTTTAAATAAGTGTTCTTAAATTAAAATCAGGGTATGCATTCAAAAGTTAAATAGTTTTAAGTGCACTTTAACCTAAAATGCATGATTTTAACCCAAAATCAACACCACTTAATATGGTATCATAGTACATTATTGTAAACCATAAAACTCAAAAGTTTAAATAAAACTCTTTCAAATGATATATAACTTGATTGGTAAAAAGCATATTTTACTCATGTAATTACAGTGATTAGAGGCAATTAATTAGTAATATAGTCTCCCAACCTGCATCTCTACCTTAAGCAAAAACAACTCAGCTCTGTCATTATTCCCTCTGTGATTTTTTCATTTCCTAAAATGATTTTATAAAATATCAATGATTGCATATACTCTGTATTCACACATGAGCTTTGTAGAGTTCAATATTGGTATAATTTCACTTTGCATCATCAATAAAAACTAAGTCTAAATAGAATTCGAAAGTACTAGAACTTTCATAAATCAAAAATCTGACTTGTCCACTTTAAATCCCTGTTCAAAACTAGGACGATTCAATCCAAGACGGCAGCCATTTTTTTTTTGGAATACATAGTATTCTGGACGTGTATTTTCATTCAACCTTGGTACATTATACATGTTAATATACATGTCCATGACAATTTGTTTTACCAATCAGATCAAAGATGGCCAACTGGTAGATATCTTGCTTTTAGGTCATACTACCCCCCGGTACTATATTTCCAACATTAGTGGACCATTCATATTTGGCACATGTTGGAATATATGTCCATGTTAGTTTGTTTGGCAGCAATCTTGTAAGTATCTTGGACATGCTTTGTTGGTTTTCAGTCAGATTTGGTACATACATTATACATGTTGAAATACACATCAATGATTAGCTTCACAAATTATTCAAAATGGCCAACTGGCAGCCATAATGCTTTTTTTTAGCTCCACTGTCGACTTTGTCGAGCGGAGCTTATCATATGAGTGATTGTCCTTGTCAATGTTTTACTTTTTCGACTTCTTCTTGAAAACTACAAGCCCGAATGCTTTGATACTTTGTGTATATGTACCTTGGGTAGACCTCTCTCAGATTTGTTCATTTCATGATGATATCTTCAATTCTCTAATTTTGGTGAATATTTTTGTCATTTTTTGGTAAAAAGTGACATTTTCGACTTCTTGTTAAAAACTGCAAGTCCAATTGCTTTGATATTACATATATAGGCACTCCATGTGGACCTCTCTGAGATTTGTTCAATTTATAATGATATCTTTAATTCTCTAAATTTGGTGATTATTTTTGTCATTTTTGGTAAAAAGTGATATTTTCAACTTCTTGTTGAAAACAGCAAGTCCCATTGCTTTGATACTATACATATTGTTCATTTTCTAATGATATCTTCTGTTCTTCAATTGAAATGTGCATTGCTAACAGCGGAGCCATCTCAGCTGACCGGCTGCTTGTTTTTCTTCTGTGACAATTAGTTTCATAATTGGATCAAAGATGGTCTGGCAGCCCATTTCCCTCACTAATATATCACATTCATGTATGTACTGTTTTCATTGATACTTTTGACAAATTGTCAAATGTATAAATTTTAATTTTGTGATTTGATTAAAGATGACAGTCTGGATTATAGGGACACATATGCAAGCCAAATTGTTTTATGATCAGCTCAAAGATAGTCTACTGTCGATAATTTCACTTTAGCTATATTACCATATCTCTGATACCCATGTACAGTCTCAAATTTTTGTCATTCATCATAATATACACTTTTATATTTATTTGAAGGAATATCTTCCAAAGGTTGTATTCAATGTTTATAGTCAAAAATCAAAATGTACATAAATCATTTGGGATAACACGAGAGATTCTGATTGGAAATGAATTGATGAATGGCAGGATTTCCTACTGAGATGTGCATTACCTTGTACAACAGATTACAACTTTAACTGACAATCAATGTTGTACGTTAATAACTTGGTAGATAAAAGATGCCAGACTTGCAGCCATCTTGTTTTATTTCAAGCATGAATAACATTTCTCCTAATAGCAACATGGATTTTGTCATTAACAATGTCATGTTTTGACAGGACCATCATCAAACAGAAATTGCTATACTGAAGAGGGGGGACTGGCTTTTTTTATTGTGTGGAAACATATTTTATCTTTTACATCTGGTAGAACATCACTAATCTCCCGATACCAATTTAGGGGATTAAGGAGATCAAATCAATTTCCTCTATTACTGTGAAATACTTTATTTTAGCTGGAATTAATTTTCGCTGAAAAAGAATTTAGGGTGTTTTGTATGGAATTTATTTTCACTGATTTTTAATGAGTTGAATGTGAAATATAGGGAAAAAAGTATATTCACTGGATTTTATTTTCAGCGAAAATAAATTCCAAGCGAAAATAAAGTATTCTACAGTATCTAACTATGCCTGCCATGGCATGTGGTCTTTTCCAAGCCTTTGATATTTTCAGAACAACTGAACAAGTAGGTTTTACAGACCTAATTAGTTTTGAATCAAGTCCATGGCACATTAGTTCACATGGGATTCAACAAGTTTCAAAATAAAATCAAAGACCTGAAAGATTTAGTTTTACTGCACCATTCTCATACAGTGGACAATAATAGCAATTTCCTGAGCATAGCAATAACATTGTACTTTATTCACTAAAACTCACACTATTATTAATCAGCATATGAAAGTATGAATATTTAAAAAAAAAATTTTCCTTTATTGAATATTCAAGTCTTATTCAGAGGGTGCAGTTATGTAAATGTTTTATGGTGCTGTAAATGTGAAATTTATTTGAATTCTTTTCATAAACCACTGAAGAAATGAATTTGTGCACATCTCAAAATAAGGATAATATAGTATTATTTTATTGTTATTTTGAAATATTAATGACAACAGCATTTATCACTTGAGATTACTTTCTGGTATCACTAGGCGATAGTTATTGGCAGCAATGTATTAGAGTTACAATACATAGATACTTGATGGATTTTAGCAGGAAATTGTTCATTGTTTACATGACTGGAAGGATTTTTTTTTAAATCTAAATAGGATTTACACAGTAAAAAATTGATTGCTGTGTTTTAAATTAGACAAGGTTAATTAATTTGTTAAAACAGACAATAGTGAGTATTAGTGGATTAATTACTATATAGTTAAAACAGACAAATTGTACGTACTGCAAGATTGAAATATTACAATTATAAGTCAAATGTGTATTTCAGACATAAAAAGTTAAGACATATCAGAGCAATATCTCATCAGTCTAATGGATTCACTTTGGTGAGTGAATTGACCATCAGACATCATTACACCCTGTGTATGTAAAAAAATTAATAAATTAGAAATACACCAAGTTATAAGTGCAGATTTCTTCTTTCAGTAACAAGTTATGTAAGGTTTGGCTTCATTGAGTTTGCATATAGAGGTCAACAGATGAGGTCACCAGCTAGTTGGTGGTCACCAGCTAGTTGATGGTCAACAGATGGCGTCACCAGCTAGTTGGTGGTCACCAGCTAGTTGATGGTCAACAGATGGAGTCACCAGCTAGTTGATGGTCAACAGATGGAGTCACCAGCTAGTTGATGGTCAACAGATGCGGCCACCAGCAAGTTGATGGTCAGCAGATGAGGTCACCAGGTGGTTGGTGGTCAGCAGATGAAAATGATAATCCTATTTACACCAAAATCAACTTTTCACAAAATAAATGTGTATACTTTTTTGAAAATTGTGTAAATTTGGTCCAAAAGAAATTTAGTGATAAAAATTATGGCATTAAAAAGGCTAATCATTTACAACCTGATCTTAACCATTTTCACTAGATCAAATCAAAGATTCCAAACCTTGACAAATCATTGTTAGTGTAAAGGGCCACGACGAGCAGCCTGGCGTATGTATTTGGCTTGCTCAGAACTCAATCCTAACTTGTCACACTCCTTGTTGAACTGCTCCAGCATTCCATAGCCACCAACATAACCATTCAATCGTGTTGCCACATGGCTGTTTAGAATCTCCTTAGCTGATAAATTCAGGCTTGCGAATAGTCCGCGGTTATTACGCAGCAGATACTTTTGATGATAACTACAGGAAAGAACAGATTTAAACTTATTTCAGTTTTGAAGTGACATATTACTGCAAGTTGTATCATCATCTTGGAAGGAATTTATAGCATTTTGAAATACAAATCACTGCTGTATAAATCAAGTGGAAACACGCCCTCATGATTCAAATTGGGAATTATTAAAAACTCTAAAATTGGTAATTCTAAGCAAGGAACTACAAACCGTTTGTAGTTCCATGTTATAAGGGGAAGTGTAAACCAATTCCAAATGTTCTACAATTCATGTTTAACTTTCATGCGAGTGCCTTATTTGCACTATAAAACTACAGATAGAAATATAAGCCAAAATATGCATTTATTGTATGTTGGATGATTGAAATTGAACATATTTTGACCAGTGACAGGCTATTTCTATCAGAGCAAATATGATATGCCATGATGACTGCAACATTTCAGGAACCAGGATTTGATATTTGAGGTTGATAACAAAGACTGAATTTCATGAAAGTCAAGGTGACCCCATGTCAAAAATCGCCAGTGAAATACTAGTTGCTAAAACATTTTGCAATTTTCTAATGAAATTAAAAAAATTTATCCCACATAAAACTGCAGCCGTTTTTAGTATTGTAACAAAACTTTTCAATAATAAAAATTCTGATATATTGACTTACTCTTCTGCTTCGTAGAAGCGGTCAGCTTTTTTGATTTTGGTAGCAATGGTTCTTGACAACGTCTTCTGATGTTCATCACGGGTCTTCTCAGCTAACTCTTTCTGTTGGTCGTCATGATAGAAGATAGCAGACATGTACTGTCTGTTGTGACAAGCGGTAGAATCATGGTTCTCCCAAAACATTTTCAGCAACGACTCGTATGAAACTGTTTTTGGATCAAAATCCATTTCAACAGTTTCTGTGTGGTCACCTCTATGTGAAAATGGTGGAAAGAAACAATAATAAAATCAACAATCAATATAGTCTCACACCATAGTAATTATGATGCACCTCCAGGTCAGATAAACGGGAAACAATTTATATCTCACTCATTACTGTAGAATACTTTATTTTTGCTTGGAATTTATTTTCGCTATTTTCTGTGAAAATAAAATCCAGCGAATATACTTTTTTTCCTATATTTCACATTAAACTCATCGAAAATCAGTGGAAATAAATTCCATACACAACGCCCAAGCCTTTTCTGTGAAAATTGATTCCAGCGAAAATAAAGTATTCCACAGTACATGTATGTTGAAAGTTTTGGGTATGGCCCATAATAGCACTAAATAGAAGGGGTTGATGGCATCATGGAACCACAATAGAACTTAGTATCACATGACCTCACAGGATGTTGATATAATATATCACCACACAGTATCTTGATACTTTCACTGCAAGGGACTAGGCCATGTGTCAAAGTCCTGCCATTGAGTTAATTATGTGTAAATAAGTTCATACTCACAAGTCATGGTACGTTGGATTCAGTTTCTTTCCTCCAGTGTATCCGACCCTGGTGTGGATAACCCCGTCGACACAGCCAAACTGTGCCTCGGGGAACCAAAATCAGCTAAGTGCGAACGTGGCTTTCTGTGTTGGGATATCTGGTTCATAATATGTCATTTTTGTAATTGCAAACTGTGGAATAAAAATATAATTTGTATTTTACAAACATGATATATGCAGCAATTTAGAACAAGTCTTGGTTATTTAAAAAAAAAAATCAAAGGAGCCTACTCAGGTGAAAATTTCTTTAGTCGCCTTCTCTTTTTAATTTCTTGTTGATTGGAATAGTATATTTTGAGTTTTCGATGCAACATTCCGACGCACCCACATTCAACCACAAGAGCTCACGTGTATGCTTCGCACACGCGAGCTAAAAAGGTGAGTAACTTGATAAGCCAATTCACAGGGTCAAAAGTCAAGATGGTTAGCTGATAACAAAAAGGCAGGCACTAAAATATTATTTCAACAAAATTCGTGATTACAAGTTACCGTATTAGAAGCAAGCCTATAATGTATGTTCAAACAATTCTTTTCAAAAATCTTTAGGAGGTACACAAGCCTAAAACTGTCATCTAATTGTTTTGTAACTTTTTCCCCCAATACAGTAATTCAATGCCAAAAAATTAAATACTCAAACATTTTTTAATAATGCAAAAAAGATTCATACATGTACCATATTTGATCTTATAGTAGCACTCACATAAGTCACAGAGGCATTTCTGTGGTCAAAATGAGTCATATTTTAATGATTCAATCATTGACGAAATATAGTACTGATCTATTTTCAGGAATTTATTAGAAATTTTTAAA